TCAAGTGTCATTTCTCAGAACTATAGCCAAATGCAGCACAAGTGTTATTATGATCATTAGGGAGGCAAAACTCGATCCATAAAGCCCCCGATCCTTTCTGCTCCCTCAGCCCTCCACATAAAGTGTGCCTTGTGAGGTGTATTGTGTGCATTTGTTTTTCAGAGGAACCACTAAAAGCCATTCCCATGGTCACATTAAATGTCCCAAGGTGTCCCTTGTTAGAAGAGAATAGGGATTTTGTGTGTGTGTGTGTGTGTTTTCTTCAGCCTGCTGCTCTCCTCCCAGGGCAACACACTAAGTACCTGCCAGCTGTCCTCCATCTAGCAGAGGGAACTGAATGCTTTTTTTTTGTAATGAAGGCCACTATACACATCTAAGCTATTAATTCAAAGACAAACAGGCACTTCTTTGATGGAAAGATGCAACTCTGAGGTACCAATGGGTTAACAAATGTGAAAATGAGTCTTCCAAGGATAATGTGCTAGTGTCAAGTAGCAAAGCAGTTGAAGCACCATTCTGACATCTCCTCAGGACACAAGATATTCACATAAAATCTGAGCAGGGAAGAACATTTGATGTCTGGCCCTAACATTTATATTTTTAGAAGGCTACACAACAATACTCTGCCACCCCCTGAGGTAGCTAATGGTTCAACAGTCCTGTACAGCTAGGTTCTGCCTCCTTTCTAAGGAGCACAAATCCATAAACCCTCACTGACCTGTGGTATCAGTATGTTCCTGCCTGCAGTCCTTTTTTTTTTCTGCTGTGTTAGAAAGCCTGATGAGACTGCTTATTGAATTTCTTCCTTTCAACATCAAAGATACTAGCCATGCTCTCCAATTATTTAATAGATTCTGCTACAGTGAAGATCACTGATTCATTTTCACAAGAGATATCCAGTCATTGTAAAGACCAATTACATATAATAACAGCCTAGCAGTTCTCAAATGTTCTTTTATCAAACACACAGTCCAGTGATTACTGAGACAGGCAATGATCTGATATTGATAATAAAAATTAATGTCTTTGCTGTTAGTTTTACCAAAATATCAGTGGCTTTGCTCTGCAGACCAAGACACTCAGAAAGTAGAATTGTTTGGATTGTATTTTGCGTTAACTATCATGTCTATTTCGAGGTCATTTTTTAAGCCTCACGGAAAGGTGTCTCTGATTCGTTTTTTCTTAGTCGGCAGTGCTGTCTGGAGGAATGACACACGGAAATGGGAGATGCTGAGTTCTAAAACCAGCTCTGTCACTGGGTAGCCTCGAGCAAGACATTTTGTCTACATCTTCCTATCTGTAAAAAGTGGAGCATAAAACTTCCTTACTTAACAGCACACAGGGATTGATGAACAATTTGTTAACAGCTGTGTGTTAGCAGCAGGTACAGTCCTTTGAACATATAATATGTCCTAAAAATATGAAGCCTCTTTGCCCTTTTTCACAGATTACTTTACAGACCTACAGATTAAAGTATTCGCTTCCTAAAACTCTCCCTGAAATAAAAAGCTATTTACTAAGCCCTATTTCGAAATGGTTCTGAAGCGGCAAGTCCTCTTCTTGAAGAAAAAAGTTCTCCTAACCCTTCTTTTCACATTTCTGATAAAACTAAAAACCAAAAATAGGCCCGTGAGGATCACAGGACTAGAGTGACCTTGAAGGATAAGTTGTGAAAAGAAAAATGGGAGCACCCACCTTCTCCAGCGTGCTTTTGAAACCCAGATGACTGAGATAGGCTGCAGTGATGAAAACAAGCACAGTTTTGAGCTGGTTTTATATCTCAGAAAGTAGAAGGCAGTAGGATGTATACAAATGCCTTAGTCTAGAAATTATGTCCCGTAGTCAGTTTTCATGTATTTCAGGTAATGCTTCTTCTAGTTAGACAGAACAATCCTCCATCTTTTATATCCTGGCCTTTGTCCTCAGTTGGGCTACAATAAACATGAGTTCTTCTTGACACATTCTCTTTTCCAGCCTTGATATTTTATCCAGGCAGATTTTGGCTATTTGTCCGTGGCTCAGGACACTAGCGCAATTCCTGCTACATGAGAAACTCCTGCAGTCAACCCAACCTGTTCACATTGTGTGCAAAGTTTAGACCTAGAGAACACATGCCATGTGGATGATATGCTTCTGTGTGCTCCATAGGTTTACCTGGGACACTTTAACTGCGTAGAGTACGCACAGATCGTTCCCTAGGTCTGGCAAATGCTGGGTATCTTTCTCTAGAATTTCCTAGGCAGAAACCTTTCAATCAGGCCATTTCTTAAGTACATATGTCAGCAGCGGATAAAGAGTGAGCTCTTCTAGGAATATGGTGTGTATGCACACACATGTGCATTTATGCTGTCACACAGTTCAGATCACACAGTCTGCATGCCAGGATACCCTCAGAACATAGGCTGAAAAAGGTCAGACCTCTCCAGAAGCTAGATACTGTTGACAAAGTATGGGGTCCTAATTCACTTTTTTTTTTTTTTTTGGCAGCACGGCTGCAAGAGATTGTATAACATACAATGTAATTCTGCAATCTCGACATAAAATTCAGTCCTCAATAACAGCGAGGCCATAGACACAACCACCAGATGCCAAAGCCTGTAGTAGGACCTGCATGAGGCCATGACCTCAGCCTCTGGGACCATAGGGGCTCCTCATTGCTGCCGGCTGAAGCATCCCTAAGTGCCATGCAGTCTCCTTAACTCCAGCACTATGTACCCCTTGTTTCAGCAGAATAGCAGGCATAGTTTACTTATTACTATGATTGCTCCAACTCGGCTTTTTAATTGGAATTCATATCCGGCAAAAGCTAGAGGCTGCAGCTAAGAGTTAGAGCCAATTATTCACCATCAGCCCGCAAAATCGGAGCTCGTTTTCCTGGTGCCTGATTCCCACTCCTCCCTAGTCACGCACAAGCTTGCTCCGTAGGCACCGCGGATCCATATGGAGCAGCTAAAGCAGCTGCAAGTGCAGCTGGGGGTGGGAGGGGATCTCGCCTGTCCACATGGTCGCTCTGTTTCATATTCTAACTCCACATCCCTTTTGTCCATGCCAGGCAGCTGTGAGGCTTTGTTAATATGCCACCTGAAATCTATTTTCATCTAGGATTCAAAACATGACTGTAAGTGGTTTATCGCTGTCATACTTTTAGATTACTTTAACTTTAGGAGCACCTCCTTTTTCCTCTTCATTTTCCCCGGCAATACACAGTGCTGCTCTTCCCTGTAAGGTGGAAGATGTATAGACTGCTAGTTGTCAGTGTTTGCAAGTAGCCATTTAAAAGCAGATATTTTTTGTCAGCATTTTTATTTGTGAAGGTTCTGTGACAGATTTGGAAATTGAAGCCCTTGATTTATCTCCAGGCTGAAAACTAGACAGAGGCAAGGACACTGTGAGCCTTAGGAATGAAATTACAAACATGTCATTACCTCCTTTAATCTGCTCTTGTTTCTGTGAAATTGCTCCAGACAGCCCCCAAATCCGTGCTCTTTTATAACAAAAAAATCGTCTTTTCAAGCTATTTTCCACCCATATTATTTGAGGCCACTCACTGTTCACTTGTGTAAAAACAAAGGTTAGTAAATATACTACTTTTTAAACGTGTGCAGGGAGCAAAACTAACAGACTTGATCAACATACAAAATAGTCCTGTCTGGCCCTTCTCCTCCTTCCCTCCCCCCTTGTTTTTTTAATCTTGTTTGGCTCACAGGAGAAAACAGTTTGATAGTGAGTCACTGTAGCACTCAGTTCAGGCCACATTTGGCATAACATAACGTAACATCTGGCACATTGAAACCATGACTGACAGACTCTGTTCAAGACTCTCATGATGGGAGTAGCAGGAGTTGTTGCATAGCTGAAGTGAGAGGCATCGGAGGAGCTATAGTGAGAAAGTGGCAAAGAGCCCAACTCCCCTTTGCCTGTTCAAGCGGTTTCTATTAGCTCTTGTTTTTCCACTGCGCTATATTTCTACGCAGAAATTAGAAGAATGACTAAATTTATTAGTTTGCACTGTAACCCATGAGACAACCTCGATGGATGACTGCAAAAAGATCTACTGTGATGAGAAAGGCTTAAACGGGAGTGTAAATGGTTATATAAAACATGGTCTGTTTCTTGAGCCAGCCCCTGAGTTGATGCTGGCACTTGTGGCAACTCCTGAGAGAGTGGTGCCAAGCTGAAAATTGCAATTGCCTGAGCTGAGTGCATAAAACTCCCTTCTCAGTTGGCTGGCATGTATCCTGTGAGAAAATCACTCCAGTCACCCTTAGGCTAGGCACCACAGAGGTGACCATCTGATGCTGAGGGAACAGGCAGTCTTGTGCTGGGTACATTTTGTTGAGGTCCAGAACCAGTGACAGAACCAATTTGCTTTCAAAGTTGGATGGAAAGCATCAGAAATGGTGCCTTCACATCTTACACAGGTAAACAGGCAAAGAATTTGCCTGCCACAGAAGAGGTCTCATTTCATTTCAGATTTGGAGGTGGCCATTCAACCTAGGGCAACTCAAGCCCAACATCCAACACCTGTTCAGCTACCACATAACTAAAACCAAAGCAGTGTTGGGCAGAGGGAAACCTGCATCATTCCCCTTCTTTTTCCTGTGGTTGTGCTTTGCAGAAGGTGCAACTTTGCAGAAGGTTGTGGCAGGTCCCTAACTGTTAAGATTTATTCTCACCTTCATTGACCCAGTAAAGTTATAATCTCATTCCTCCAAGATTTGGCAATGATAACAAACACTGAAGGAAGCACGGGGGGTCTTTGCAGCCGTACTGCTTTATGGGCGAGCATTCATGCCAGACTGAAAATGCTGACACCAGGGACCACACAACCCCATTGCCCTTCCTGGTAAATCTGCAGTTTGACCTGATTTCTGGAAGAGGTTCAGGTAAAAGGTTCCAGTACAGAGCCCAAATGAATAGATTTGATTTATTATAGACTCAACTAGTTTGGCCAAGCTCCAGAGAAGACTAGAAGTCCAGACATATCCCTTTTGTAAGCGTTTTCTGCTATGTAACACTGCATATCAACTTTAAATGCATCTGCCCTCAGTGGGCTGATTGCAAGGACCAACATCCCAGGCACCCAGGTCCACCCATGGAGATGGTACAGGAGGCTGGTGCCAGGCACAGAGCTCTGGGCCCCACTCTAAGGGGTAAGCACTAACGGCTCAATACCAAAACATGTAACTTGAAAGCCTAAACCAGCCCATCCTTTTGTGTTCATTTTCATCTCTGTGAAATGAAACTGCTACTCACCCTTTATCATAGGGCTCTCATGAAAATAAAAGCAGTAATCTCTGAGAAGATTTGGCTGCTGCACCAAATGGAGGTTATTTATACTTACTGCTATGCTGCTGAGCTGCAGTTGTCTGTCTCCAGATGTACTATCACAGAAGTGGGGCTGGAAGTGGGGCAAAAGCCCATTAGTCAAGAAGGCAGAGAGCAAAAAAAAAACTGAACGAGGGGAGGGAGGGGGATCCTTAAAGACCCGGTAATGGTGTAAAGCCAAAAAAGACATAAGCCTGAGCAGAACAAAAGAAGAAAAAACACCTCATGTAATAGCTTGAAAGGGAGGGGGATATGAACAGCGGTAAGAAAAAAAATGCTTATTCTCTTTCTCCCCACTCCTTCTCTTCTAAAGAGTCACTGAGAATTCGGCAGCGGAAGCTAAAAACCAGCCCACACCATGGCAAAGGCAAAGCTCTGTATCCTCACCACCTGCACCGAAACCAATTAGCTAAATGAACAAGTGATGGGCCAAGTCTCTCCTGTCTACATGGGGAGAAAAGGGAGAAAAAAGGAAGCAATGATCACTACAGAAAATGAGAAATTGTGACTGTCCCTTCTAGAAAAACATTGCTATCAGAAGGTTGAACTTCTTTGGGGTATTCGAATCTGTGATGGAATCACTAGGAAAAAAAATGTACTAATTGTCAAGGATTAACAAAATTCACACTGTCATTAGCGAATTCGGCCTTCTTAATGATGTTTTCCATTATTAGGTACTTAGGCTGGAAGTTGCCCTCCCACATAAGATCTGTCTTTGTGATGAATGTATCAATTTGCTTTATAACTTGACCATAACAATGCAGAATGCTAGCTGTAAATTACTATTTAAATCTTTCATTCATGACATAAATACTCTTTATTGTACAATATGCATAGTCTTGCATATTAACTATGTAGTAGAATTTCACTTCAGGAACATTTTTGCACATTTATGTGGTATTTTATAAAACCTGGCCACAGATTTTAGACACCTTATTACATAGCCTGCATTTTGGAGGAGATCTTTAGAGATAAATACTTCAGACTGTATAAATATAATTTCTATACCTGCTGCTAAAATTAAATCTTCATCCACTTAAATATATGGGTTATGTTTAACCAGAATCATTCTTATATATGTGAAATAATAATCTAGTAATCTAGTTCACAATATGGAAAGATTACTTAATCCTTTTTTTTGTCCTAGAACTTGTGATTGACAGACTATTTTATTACTCTACCTTATTACTTTTTTTTTCTTTCTTTTTAACTTTAAGAATATCTAATGAAATTAATCATAGCCTGAAGGAGACGGTTTGAAACCTGCTAAGAATTATATTTGTCAGTGCAAGCTTTACAATTCAGTTGAGCTTACTACTGGCAAATATATCACTGTCATACACTTCTGTAAACTTTGCATTTGTAATCTTTTGAACTAACCATACAAACTGAAGCACTAGTTGGAATTTAAGCTGATAGCAGGGTTCATGTAAGGTTTCTAACTCAAAGCTACCTCCAATAAAGATGTATTGGCATATTCCTAAGTCATCAGTAAAACTTATTGTCTCATCCACCTTAGGAACACAGACATGGGGAAAATATTGACCATTTTTAAATAAAGTAAAGAATGTCTGAAGTAAAAAACGAGAGGAGACTAAAATCTGTAGAGGGTCTCATAGAGTTTGCAACTAGATTGCACATTAGTATTAGACAACATCTTACAGCCATTAATATTATTATTAATTAACTCACACATTAATTCATTTTGCTTGGGTGGACAATGAAAGTTGCATTATGTTAGATCAAGAATATTGAAATGTTTTATAACAGGAAAGCAAAAATTAGAGGAAAGTCTTCAGTTGTTCTTGCCACCTCAATATCTGTCATTAATGTCAATTCCATCTAAGTTATTGATTTCTATTTGAAACAAATACCAGAAACAATATAAATGCCATTAAAACTCCAGCACTAAAGCAAAGTCTTAATTATGATCCCATACTCTCCTGAGTCAAGATATTGATACTTCTGTCACACAGCCCATCTGTTTTCAAAGTCATTTTGCCTTTAGGCTGCTGAAGACAGAGTTGATATTGATAGAGGAGACTAGGTGTCCTTTGGAACACAGACTTTTTTCCCCGATATCAGGATTTGGAATTTTATCTTTATTTCCTAGGTACTGCAGGTACAGCTCTGTTGGATTACTGAATTGGGATTATAGGTAATTTCAGTAGTTCCTGATGAATTCCATTTCTTTCTAGATCAGACTTTATTCAGACACAGGCCTTCTTGAGGCCACCCGAATACAAATGTGAATCCAAGAATAGGTATTAAACTAATGAATTAGGAACAAGTTAAGGCCAACTTTTAGTATAATTTAAAAGTACTTTTAGAAAGTACCTTAATTATTACCTTCATTTCGCAGATGGGAAACTGAAGCATGCTCAAACTTAAAAAAGAGTGAAAGAGCCCTGATACTGCTTTTCCTCCCATCAATTAAAGGGCTTTGGGGAAAAACAAACAAACGATCAAAAATACCAGGCTGACACTAAAAAGTATATTTGCATATATGTAGAGACAAAGCAAAAACAAAAAATGAAAAGCAAAGAATCCTAGGGATTTGAGCAAAAAAAAAACTGAGAGGTCAGTGTAACATAAAGATACATATTTTGTAGCCAAAATAAGTTTTTTTTTGTTTGTTTGTTTGTTTGGTTTTTTTGTTAACATTCCCACGTGTGCCCTTAGTGAGGTAATCTTTAACCCTTTTTCATCATAGCTTGAGTCCCATCTGAGATGCCATTTTGCATTTTGTCTATGTGAATAGAATTTCTGATTTCTTATACTAGGAAGCCGTAAGAAACTCTGGTATTTCCCGATTGTATTTTGTTTAAAACAAACTAAAAATAAATCTTTGCAGACTGCTATAAAGCTTTCTCTATCACTAATTTTCTTAGATTTTTAAATATCATTTTTTTCCTACAGAAAGTTACCTGGATACATATAAATTTAGAAAAGAAGAGGAAATATCGAGAAGCTAAGGGCTGATCTCAAGATTTTTTTTTTAAGCTTTTATTACCTGCTGATGGGAAAAGGAAAGTCTCCTGATGTGAGAGGATGAGAAAAGGGGCATTTTGCACAAGAGTCTTACAGAGGCACTTCTGCTTTCAGTTAAAATCTGTTTTTCCACTAGGGAAATACTGCTGTAATACTGTACCAACAAGATGAAGTTGTTAGATCAGAGACAAGACTAGTCCTGGTGCCACCTCCATGACAACCAAGGAGTTATTTTTTTCACAGCAAACCAAACATTAGAAAGGTAATTTGGACAGGAAGATACAAGGGTATATAGGTTAGTCATTGTATGCCAGGCTCTGTGCTCTTGAGAAATCAGACACTTGCATTTCATTGAGCTCAGCAGAATTTCTGAAAGCAGCTTTGCTCAGAGAGTTTCAGGAGGAAATATAATTCCCAAACGTTTCCCCGCATTCCCTCAGTTCTCTTGTATATCTTCTCTCGGGAATATCTGCTCATGATTTCCCTCTTTCACATTTTTCAAAACCTCCTGTAGTCTATGAGACAAAAGTGTCTGTTCTCCCATGACTTCTGGTGAAGATACAGGCAAAACAGACAAACATAAGACTCCATCACTGCACGCTAAAGGGAGGAAGGTTCTTCTAATTTGTACTTGAGCATCTTCTGACGTGGAACATGAGTAATTCACTACCAGTACATGGCTGTGCCAGATGATCATCCAGCACAATATCCTCCCAGTCACGACTTCTCAGCATTAATGTAGAAACAAGCTAGCCAGCTATCTCCACATCTTGGAGAAAGCCAATGCATTAGCATGCTGCTAGGCATTATTTTCCTGAGGCTAGATAAAATAAGGGATGGAGGGAACAAGGCTAAAATTCTCTATGCAGTTTTCTCAGGCAGCTCTGATGGGAACTTCAGCATAAGAGCTCATTCAAACAGAAAAGCAAAACAACACAAAAAATGTCTGAACTAAACCCTTCCTCATGGGAAGGTTTAGTGATGTCTGGCAGATCATTGTTGGTTTGTTATTAGAAAACTAAACTACATCATAAATTAGCTCACTTGTTAGCAATGTGGAGCAGTAAGGGCTTTCCATTATCTTCATATGTGAAGATCCTAGTTTTTGCAGAATACTTCATTTCCATTCACAGGAGAATTTCATGACTTCTACAATGACCTCTGTGGATCATGATACTGATCTTTATTTTGGTTAATTGTAACAAATTTCATTGTCTTGCATTTTTGGCAAGAAAACTCCTGCCTGAGGTGTTTAAGAAGGTGAGAAATTTCTGAATTTCATCTCTAAGCATATTAACAGTGCACCAAGGTATATCTGCTTTCAGTATGAATTTAAGAGGGAGTTTTTAAAGCTCTTTATAGCTAATAAAGAAGTAATAGTGCCTCTGCCAGTGTCAGGGAGTAGCTGTACCTCATTCATTTTGGCAAGTATGCCAGAAAGGAGGCGGCAGCTGGTGTCAAAGGCTATGACTGCACTTGCCGTTTTCTTGTGATAACTCAAGCAGAGCACTGGCCTGAAGCAGTTTCTGCTGAGTGCCATATGCCATCACTACCATGGAGGAGGGGAACTAGGCAAAAGTAAATATTTATCTATCTATCTCAAATATGCTAGTTTCATTTTTGATTGCTAATACAGTTATACTCCAGAAGAATACGGACTGCCTTAGATGGAGAGTCTCATCATTTTGCAGTTAGCTAGGGGGAGGAGAGTCTCTTCCCTGCAGAAATCTCAAAGCTTAAGCACCCTTGCCCCTACAAGTTTGGGGCTAAGGTGATGCCCATAGCTGACTTGCCTTCTCTTGGAGTCCTTCTTCCCACGTGTGCTTTTAGGAGCAGGCTTTGACCTATTTGGAGGCTGTGTGCGACTTACAGGGGAAGTTCTTCTATCTGGAACCTGATGTAAAGCCTTTTCAGTACCAACTTTGGAGCCCTATGACCCATCAGCTGCACTGAATGTCTCTCTGCCAGTCTGCCAGCATCTTCTTTCAGTGGCCTTTTCCTCTCTCTGCCATTGCTTTGAAATTTCTATTTCATCCCCCAGGTTCTTAGCATTTTTTGCTGCCTTATCTGAATCTTTGGCT